TTCCTATCATCCAGGTCACAATATTCGTCATCTGCTTGACGCCGTGAATGGGTAAGAAGAAAAGGAGCGAAACAACCGGATAGTGTACATCACTGAGTCACCGATTGGTATGAGTAAGTGGAAGTCACTCACATGGATCACAATAGGTTGTTAGCCAGATCGAAGTGATCCGAAAGCGAAACAGGAGTTCCTCTCGTTTCTAAACAAATCGTTGGCTATTCTGAATGTAAGTCATGTTTACTGATGCAATGAAATGCACAGGAGAACGAGTAAACTGGCAGTAATCTTGTAAACATGAAATTAATACAAATGAAACAAGTGATTTCATTACTTTCATTATCTGAAAACCACATTGTCTTTAACGCACTCAAGTGAATCCTGAATAGAAAGGTTGAATACGTACTCAAAATTTGGTTTTGCTATTTCGCCTAACTAATGTGTTTATTTGGCTAATTGTCGTGCATATCAGGATTCTTCATCAGTCTACACTCACGAATCTACTGTGGACTGAACCCAGATGAATTACATTTCAATGCAAGCACTTCGATGGAATTGAAAGGTCCATTAGTTCTGACTTCTGTCAATTCAGATTGCTTTCAAGTTTTTGTTTGCTTGTAATTGTGCCATATGTGGCGAGTTGGCAGTAAATGGGATTTATGTGCTATTGGATCATGTTCCATTGGTTGATTTGATGAAGAGCTCACCTTGTATCTTTAAGAGCCCTGGATTCGGAATCCGATGGATGAGTACTGCTGAAGGACCCTAGACTGGAACACAATAGCTAGTTGGTAGTCAACGTTCGTTCTGCGGGTTTTTACTGACTGTTGCCAGCTCATGGTTAAAGACGTAGCGGGTTCAGAGTGCACGGCACCATCACTAAGTCGACTAAAGAATGTTATTTCAAACATTTTCTACAATTGTATGAATATATTCGTATGAACCGTGATCAAGATTTGACTGGATAGTTGCAAAATAATTGAGCGCCTAGTGAAAAGTAGACATTTATAAAATTATATTTGTAAAATCTCAGCGAAATTGACCACAGTTTATACAATTTTGTTTATTATACATGTTGATTCCTGTTTCATTGCTCATGATTGGACAAAGTTTAAAAATAAGAGATGTTCCTTTTATATGTAAATCTTTGTTATGTTAATTTCCATTATTTTCCCTGAAGAAGTTCGGATCAGATTGCCGAACGAAACGTTGGAATTAATCATTTCAATTTCGCTGAGATTTTAAAAATATAATTTTATAAATCATGTAAATAAATAAGACTGATTTGAGTAGTTTTTTTCGAAAATGTCAGTATGAGCATGTATTCAAAACTCAAACATGAAATTACTTACTATACTTTAATATCCTGTTGCCACTGCTTTGCACTCCCACTGGTGCATAGGGAGAGATTCAACTTTCGGAATTCCAGTTGTTTTCACTAGAACTTTCCTCCTTTCTGAAGGCTGGCCAACACTAGGTGGCTCAATGGCTTAGGCGCTTGGCTTTGAGTCAGTTGGTCCTATGTTCCAATTCCCACACGCTGAACTCAGTGTGGAAAACTGTATAATATCACCAGTCAACACATGATAAAATTGTGGTTCATGGCCTGGAGCATGAAAGACCTGTTCTGTAAGCAGAGTTCATTAAAAGAGGGTGAGGTTTTGGTGTGTATCTGCCAGGAATCGAACTTCACACCACTTGTATTGCCTGCGAACATTCTTTTATTAAACTTTTAAATCGTCATTTTACTTTCCTGTTTCATTACGATCGCTAAACCATGTTGATAATTGCTCTCGAGGCTAATGACCTCAAAACCGTTTCATTTACTAATCGTAGCTGATTTGACAAGTGTTAAATAATATAGAATCTCTGTAGAGATTTTGCCTTATCAACACTAAGTACATGAGGCATTATACTAAGTGGAGGCGAGACTCATTAGGTAATTGGCCTCAAGATTGATAATCGATTGGTAGCAGTTAGGGAACCATTGTAAAACAATGGGTACTGAATAGCTGTTTTTGCGAAGTTTGGGATTCTTCTGCAGAAGAATTTGGAACTCATGGATCACTTGATCGGATCCCAGATGATGAATGCTAAACGAGCTCGCCTTTTAGTCAGGAATTCCTAGTTTTCAACCTCACCGTGTGAGTACTATAAAGAGTGCCAAATGGGACGAAACATTTCTCTAGTACTTTCCGGTTTCCCAATGTTTCGATAACTTACGTCAATCTGTGATAAAACTTGAAGCAATTCAAATGCCCACAAACTAATCGTCAAAAAGCATCATTAGTACTCTAACAGGTGAATACAAGAAACTTGGTAACGGAATGTATGTTTACAATTCGACATACACATTAGGGACATTAAGTACACCTTCTATGATAATCATCATTAATGTAGGTCTTCCATATTTTGCTAATCCTGCACTTCGTATTATGCTTCTTTATCTTCTTTTCATGTCTCCCATGTTTTTGCTACAACATTAGTTCATTTCCTCCCCTAGATGTCGAATCGTTCTCTCCGCTATTTGATATTTCTGTGGCGGTGGACATCTCTTTATATACTACTGATAAATGTTATCAGTAGCACAAGCCACAGTACTTTTCATCGTTTTGTATCTCAACTTATTTTCTGTTATAATCTTCCTTTGAAATTAATTCAGTTATTATCTGTCGTTGAAAGAATAGTGAAGTTGAGATGGCTTATAATCAATCGCCTCAATATTTTAACTCTTTCTAGAAATTATTTTTATCTTAATATCAGAGAAAGAGTCGTGTAGAGACTTAAACAGATGGAAAGTCAGTGAATAGACTCTATGGGTCAACTGTCAGGTAAGTCATCTGGTTACTACTGTAGTCGACAGACACGTGAACTCTTGTGAAAATTGATTTAAGTCCATATTGTCTGACTGTCAACACCCCGTCGATTCACAAACCACCCCGCCCACAACTTGCATCTCAACAGGTAGGACTAGAATTCATTATAAAAGATTATATGCCGGCTCGTACAACCAACTACAAAAACTGGACGATACCATATTTGGACAGTCCATGTACTATGTGGCAGAGATTGTGTTAAGTGTGAAACCTAAGACTTACTATGTTATTAGCAAAATAATCGACTCTTTTATTCTCTCCTATTTGTAATCTATGATGACACCAATTCAGTTAACTAATAATTTTAGCTATTAACATTATTATCATCATTATTTAACACTTTTTGTACATTTTTGACTTTATTGTCACTTCAAATTTTTAAATATTCCCATTATTAATATTAGAACAAGACATATAAGCGAACAATATTGTGGTTTTCAATTAGATCTTCTTCTTCAGGCTTTACTCTAATTTACATAGATTTATATCTAAGAAATTTAACCGATGACGGTGATTTTGTGGATCAAATAATAATAATAATGATAATAATAATAATAGTAATGTGGTAAATGCATTGAGCGTCATTAGTAACAGTGATTATAACGATAACAAAATGATGATAATGAGGTTTATGCAGGTGGCGTTAAGAATAACGAAGGTAGTGTTATTATTTTATTGTCATTCCCTTGCGTTCCGAGTAGAACATAGGGCTTCAACAACACATCTCCACTTTGTTCTGTTCTTTTCTGCCGTCCTCTTCAGCTGGGTCCACGATTGACCAAACTCTCTCATCTCTTCCTCACACCACCTCCTCCATGTCAACCTCGCACTGACGACCCACTAGTCGCTCCCCATTGGGATTCCACACGAGCCTTGGACTGCATTGCGCGCGATGTCATTCGACGGCCTCCTCAATGTATGCCCGATCTGTCTTCACTTTCTCCTTTCTTATTTGTTGAGCGATCAGCCCTCACCTGTTGGTTTGTTCCACTGCAGATTTTCTTGTTGCTTATTCTTTCTGGCCATTTGATCGTCAGTGTAGATCTAGCAAAGGCAGCTGTTGATGAAAATCTGCTACAGGCTGTTGGAATTTCTTGTCCTAACACGCCAAGTTTCTCACCTGTATAGAAGGACCAATTTGACACTGGTGTTGAAAATGAAATCTTGTTCCTTATGCTGAGGTGGAGTGCTGAAGATTTCCAAATTGGTTTCAGGTTGATGAAGGCGTATCTTTCCTTTCCGATTCCGGCTGGCTGACTTTGACATCTTCGTCCGTTCCACCTGTAGTAGTATGTGCATATTTAGACAATTCAATAAATAAATTAGGTTACATCTTAAAAGTTACGTAATACTAAAGGTGAAGTGGACAAATAATCAGAGTTTAAATAAATATCATAAAAGTTCGAAAGAAACGGAAAATAAGAAAGAGTGGGAGGGCTTTGATTAGAATTTACCCCCTAGGCCAAGGGAGAGACAAAAGTAGAACAAACTTCTTTTGTTGTATGCAAAGACTAGGATTGTTCTCTCGAATGCATTCCCATAGCTTCGGATATGTGTTTAAAAGGTGGGTTCGAATTCCGTTCGAAAGGCTCAATGGAATGCGATAGATTAATTTGAAGGCACTACTTCTATCCTCTTGGTGACCACCATCAATCAAATGAGTCAAAATAGAACTTCTTATAGATTTCATTTGGCCTTTTCCGAACCATGAAGAAGGATGTTCATTAATACATTTGTTAAGCTGTCTAGTTGTTCGCCCTATATAGCTCTCTCCACAGGAGCAACTAAATTTGTGGATACACATAGAAGGGGTACAGCTAGGTAGCTTGTCTTTCGCTTGAGCAATCATAATTGGTCGGTAGCTGGAAAATGATAAACAAAGGGTGTTGATCCACAAAATCACCGTCATCGGTTAAAATGTTTATCGTCACTGTTAATACCACAATGGCTAATATTATCGATACCCGGTAATATTATTTTTTTGTACTTATGTGAGCTGTTGTTGAGTAAATTAGATGTAATAATGTTGTACGAAATGCTTAGAATTCCACACTGTATCAATAGTTCTGTTTTCGAATAAAGCAGATAATGTCACACTAACTATTCCTTCTCCTTTTATCATTTCAGATAACATTTCCGATGGCTTCACTATCCTTGGACAAAATTGGACAAAAGAAGAGAATCCTGCCTAGTTCACTTCAACTATTTCTATGCTTGAATATAATGTTTTGTTTATGTGAAGTAATCTGTTCAGTGAATGTTGGACGACGGCTAACACTACCAGAAGATGATAGGCTAATCAATACAGATGGAGTTGAAGAACGACGAAATATGCTGAGACGTTTGATTAACGAAATTGCTGACAATCCGATGGTGAGTTGACTTTCTCAACATTTATCATGAAAGTACTGATAAATGTTTCACCTGAAGAGTAAATTAATTTACTCACGCAGGTGGTCCGGGATTCAATCCCTGGCCGACGCACTCCTTTACCTAACTAAGCCAGTAATAAGACTGGTAAAGAGGGAAGATTGGGCATGAGGCTAGTAACCCCATCCAATAAAAATAATTACCACTGCTGCAGAAACTTCAAGCCTGTAGCTTGAAGCCCTATGTTCCACTGGGAACGTAAAGGAATAAAAAATAGATATTTTTCATATAATTAACTCCTTGTCGGTTATGCTGCGCTAATATATCTTGATGTACTCATAAGTAACTCCATATTAATTTGTTTATTAGATATGTCATGGGGTCACTAATATCCCCAATTGTGGCATATATATTCACGGACAGATGGGAAAACATAGCGATTGAAACGTTCAGCCCCACCCCAAAAGTATGGTGGATGTATGTAGATGACACATTCACTGTACTTAGAACACAGTACATAAGTAGATTTTTCGAACAAATCAACTCGAAGGTGGAGGCAATTCAATTCACTTATGAATTGGAAAGTCAGGAACTCAGGGAGCTTCCAATGTTAGATTGTAGCGTAAAATGGAAAGAAGAAGGGAAGTTAAACACTCGTGTATGTTTACAGGAAACCCACACATTCAAACAGATATTTGAACTTCCGATCACACCATCGTATGTCAGTGGAAATAGGATTGGTTAAATGTTTAAGTGACAGGGCACAAAAACTAAGTAGTACCAAGGAAAATTTAAGACAGGAGGCGAGACATATAAGAGAAGCTTTGAAACTCAATAATTACCCTGATAAATAAATCAGGAAGTAAGTAGAGAGACGTAAATATTGGATTAATAATAATAACAGTAGTGGTAATGATATTATTAATAATATTAATGAAAACATCAACAATAGGGAATCTAAATCATCAGTAGAACTTCCGTACAAAGAGGGAACCTCGGAAACCACCTTACGGAAAATTCTTAGTAATGCAGGAATAAAAGTGGCTGGCATTCAAATCCACAAACTCAATTGTCGGTTAAGGTATCTTGTGAACCAATTAGGCAAAACAATTTAGTTTATCTAATATCCTCCTGGAATGATTGTAAGGTGAAATACATAGGTCAAAGTAGTAGAACGGGGTCAGTCAGACTAGCGGAGTACAAAAGCCTAGCTGATCCTAATAATTAAAGTAAAATATAGCATTACATGCAATTACACACAACCAAACAATAGGATGGGATACGACGACAATTTTTAAAATCTAATGTGACAGAGTGCACGGAGAGATTGATAACGGAAGCTTTATTTTTCAAATCAACTACGAATCAGCACGTGTAACAGGAATGATTCGACACCTGTCCAGTCGGGCATCTGGAAAATTCAATTACTATCCCTACGACGAATAGGAAGGAACAGAAAAAACTATAAAACGGAAGTTTCGAAGTTGTGTAGTTATAATTGATGATATGATTTTGAAGAAAAAGCTGTGTTCAAAACGTCAATGTCCAGTAAATAATCCTTTTTCACACTGTGTGATGTGTCTATAATAAACAAATTAATACGAAACTGCATACTACCACAATACCCAAGTTTAAACATATATTAGTACTCATAAGTAAATAACAATTTATCATATCAATCCAGTGATAGCTTGGAAAATAAGTGGAATAACTAAAGCAATTAAGATGCTAAAAGCTGGAAAAGCAGCAGGACTAAATGGAATCCCAGCAGAAGCATTGAAAATGGGCCCAAAGACAACAGCGGACTTGATGACGCCACTACTGGAGAAGGTGTGGAAAGAAGGCAAAGTACTCGAGGATTAGAAGAAAGGATACTTATTCAAACTACCAAAGAAAGGAGACTTAAGGCAATGCAAGAACTGGTGTGGAATAATGCTCATGTTCATCCCAAGGAAAATACTAAGCCGCACCATCCTGGAGAGAATCAAACATGCCAACCTGGATGAAAAACTTCGACCGGAATAGGCTGGATTCAGGAGAAACAAGTCATGTATTGATCAAATCGCCACACTACGGATCATCATTGAACAAAGCTTGGAATGGCAGTCCCCTCTCTATCTCAACTTCATCGACTTTGAAAAGGCCTTCGACAGCTGCGATCGAGAGGTGATTTGGCAACTACTCCGCTACTACGGAGTGCCACGGACAATTATACATCTCATCCAACAGCTATACAACAATGCTGCATGCCAAGTAATCCACAACGGGAAACTTACGGAATCCTTCGAAGTGAGGACAGGAGTGAGACAAGGCTGCCTACTATCGCCAATGATTTTCCTGATTGCAGTAGCTGGATAATGCGACAAACAGTGGGCAGTGAGGAAACAGGCATAAAATGGACTCAAACAAAAGAAAAACTTGGAGGATCTGGACTTCGCCGATGATATATATATATCTGATTTCCCACAAACTGGAAGATATGCAAGTGAAAAGCAACAAGTTGGCAGAAGAAGCATCCAGAGAAGATAGGACTTCAGGTGAACACAGAGAAGACAGAGGTGATGAAGATTCCTGGGCAACACCATCAACAGCAACAACAACAGACAACAATCATCATAAATGGGAGGAACCTGAAAGAAAAAACCTCTTTTACCTACCTGGGAAGCATCGTTTCAACTACAGGCGGACAGAACTGACGAGGATAACAAAGCAAGAATTGGAAAAGCAAGAAAAGCTTTCATTACTCTCAAGTCTGTGTGGAGGTCAACAGCACTCAGCATCAAAAATAAGATCCGGATTTTCAACTCCAATGTGCAGTCAGTGATACTTACCGTATGGATCAGAGACTTGCACTGCGCGTCATAAAGAGCATCTCAAACAAACTACAGACCTTCATCAACAGCTGTCTTCGCTTAATACTTCTCTCAAGATCAGACGGCCGGCCAGAAATGATCAGCAACAGGGATCTCTGGGAGCGAACCAACACAGCAGGAACTGATTGTGAAACAAATAGGCAGGGAGAAATGGAGGTGGATTAGCCATACTCTGAGGAAACCGTCAAGTGACATCACTAGATAGGCCATCGTTCCAGTGGAACCCGAAAGGGGCGCGGCGAGTTGGTCGTCAGTGCAAGGGTGACTTGGAGGAGGTCATGTAAAGAGGAGATGAAAGCATGTGGGCAGACTTGGAGCCAGGTGAAGACTCTAGCAGAGGACCGAACGCAATGGAGACGCACGGCTGAAGCCCCATGTTCCTCTAGGAATTAAAGGAAATAATAATAATGAACTGATGTCTGAGTGATGAAGGTAAAATTACAAAATTAGAGTTGTGCTAGAAATCAAACCGACAGTCTTTGATTGAGTAGACTGATACGCTACACACTGAACTAATACACCCAAATGCTAACTAAACAGGGATGTTTGCAATGAACTGATACCGTTGCAGTTAGCAGTTGGGCTTTGTAGTTCAACCACTAGGGGGTCGATTCAAGTAATCTGCAGGCAGCAGATTGCAGCTCATCATCAATCATCACTAATCAAAATGCTATTAATCAATAACAACGTAAATGTCATAATATACACATATTATTATAATATTAGGTGGTTGGAGGCAATCGGCAGGAAGCCTTGGACCTAGGTTTCGTGCTAGTTGGCACTCGTCAGCAAGGCGTATCTGCAACCTTGTATGTATTATTATAGCATTTTGTATGACGTAATTGCATCCTGTATGAAACAACAGTCAGTCCTCTGCGACATTTCTCCTCCATTTTCTTCTTGAAACGCACAACGGTAGGTTATAATTAAGTCATTTTGCGATTCAAAATTACTAATGCAAGATTAAACCGACAACAATAATAGCAAGAAACGGAGAAAAGTATACATATTATTCTAGTGGATGGGAATTTAGATAGCTCAGAGGTCTAAGCAGGTCACCAGTTTACAAAGCTTATTCAAGTATTGGTTTGCGGGGATTTGATCGATTGGTTACAGGCTTTCATGATGATCTGACATTGGTTAGAGAACCACAGGAAAACCACAGCTGGAGTACTGGACAGTTGTTTTGTCCTTGTTTGTGACTCTTCACAGCATGCCCTGTTCAGGTAGGTAGTTACACCTGGTGTTCTAGTGGGAAGTTGTGACCAGCTTGGGGTACAGTAATACGGGTATCAGGAAAAACTATTTTTCTTCACGTTCCCAATGGAACATAAGGCTTCAAGCTAGTGGCTTGAAGTTTCTGTAACAGTGTTTATTTTTACAGGATGGGATTACCAGCCCCATGCCCAACCTTTCCTCTTCACAAGCATTATTTTTGGCTTAGCGAAGTAAAGGAGTGCGTCGGCCGGGGATAGAACCCCGCACCATGTGCATGTTCGGCGAGCGTCCTAACAGCTATGCCACCGACGCACCGTCAGGACAAATACTCGCCACCAATGACAATGCCTAGTGGTCTTGCTGTGTCTTGAATTGGCAAAAGTTGGAATTCATGGGCTGCATTGGGTCCCAGTGGCTTAATGGTCTATGAGCTAGCTTTTCTTAGGGGTATGGGCCGATGAAGAGTATCAAACTAGGATGAAACAGCTGTCCAGTACTCTCAGGTTTTCCAGTGGTTCCCCAGATGATGTCAGCTTATGATGAAATCCTGTTGCTAAGGTTATGTTAGGCACTTTCTCCACTAACATCAATAACTTCATGAATATGCAGAATATGGATAGTGTTACAAATGTCGTGGAATACGTTGACTGATCAGTTTTGCGTGAATTATGATAAAATTATATGACATAACTCCAGTTAGTTAAAAAAGTCAGAAGAACTATCAATTTTCAGGTTATAGCGCACTTGAATTATAGAAGTGGCATTCACTAGTTAACAGCTTATTGATATAGAAAGCGTCTAATAAACTCAGTCAGAGAAGGGTAAAATCAGCAGTTCATTGCTTCCATTGTGTCGGTATCTATCGTGTAATTCCCTTTCACATCCAAAAAAACCACCTTTGAGCAATTGTATCAACTATGTCACCTCATACTACTCAACAACTGAGCAATATACCACCATAAGTACGATTCTACAGACTTAAAAGATAACTCCATCGATAAAGAGCTAAATTTTCCTCGCGGAATTGTATTTTGTTTTATTTCATACCTCTATAATCCTATAAATTAACTGCAAGAAAGGATGACTGTTCAAATCTAGTCATGTATATATACTGCAGATGTTTAAATGCCGAGAAAATATATTGCACTGATCAAGCACTCTACTCGGTCTCATATAGCCATGTAAGAGCTTATGGCGAGTTGTCATCTGAAGTGATGACAACTAGTGGTGTCCGATAGGGATTTCCACTGTCCTCATTTCTATTCAATTTCATCATAGATGTACTAATGGAATTAACCCTAAGTGACTTCAGCGACTCAGGAATTGACTTGTTACCAGGGAATAATCTCGTTGACTTAGGATATGATATAGTCCTCCCTCGTGAGTAAAGACGCTGACAAAGTGTAGAGTCTTCTCAACATTTTGAGCAGCAATCGTCGAATTTTCGGGATGCGATTCGCTCCTCCTGTCAAATGTAAGATGATGCTACAGGATTAGACTACATCAACTCCCAGCGTAAGGACAGGGAGCAAAGTGGTAGAGTGCGTTGACCCCCACTTCATTTATTTAGGAAGTCTCATCAAACACAGCAGGCTGATTGCTAATGAAATCTCAGCATGGATACAGAAGGCTAGTTTGGCATATGGCAACCTACGTCATCTCTGACGTAGACGTGATATTCAGCTGTGGAACAAAGGTCATGTGTTGTGTACTCCTCAGCAGTTCTCTCTGTCTTTTATAGCTGTGAGACCTGGCCAATGAAAGTGGAAGACATGAAAAGCTTGACTAGCTGTCTTTGATTGTAGGTGTCTGCGTTCTATCTCCCGTGTGAAGTGGTATAATAGGGTGAGCATTATTGAGGTTTAGAAACGATCGGGTGCTAGGTAAGGAGGGGAAATCAATAGACGTGGCTGTGAGGCTACATCGACTGAGATGCTAAGGAAATGTGTTACGCATGCATCCCTAGCCATTGCCTTTCGCAACAGGCAACGTTAGCTGAATGGCACTGAATCAACTTGGAAAAGAGCCAGAGGTCGTCAAACCAAAACATGCCTTCATCAGTCAATGAATCCACAGCTGTTAGTTTAATCCAGTCACGTGAGGAGGTGCAGACTTCCTGGTTGGGGCCCTCGGGACAGTAAACACCAATAAAGGCTGGAGACAATTGGTGATATGGCTCAAAATCGTTCTCAGTGGCTGACGCAGATACATCCACTACTTGTGACTTATAATATCCAACAAAATTATATTGTTCTTCGTTATTATTATTTCTTTGTCTCATATCCCTGTCTACTGTCTCTAATATGCATTTCTTCTACTTTCTTCTTTTGCCTTGTGTGTTACACGGAGTGAGTGTGGTGACTGGAACTGCCGCGCATCTGTGCAAAGTAGTTCTATACTGAAACCAGTCAGTTAGTCAGTCAGACTTCTAAATTTCCTCTGATGCACATGTAAGCATCATTCATATGAATCTTCTATCCATCTTTCAAAACAACAACTTGTCTTATAAAAATCGATATAAAGTCGACTTCTCTGATTGCAATTATTAAAGTGTTTGGAATCTTTCAATAAATATTTTCCCTTAAAACACTTCAATACTCAAATTATCTTGTTTGCTCTTTCAGTATGCCGCTGAAGCACTTGAAGAAATTCGAAGATACCGTAAGTCATAAAAAGGAATACTGCATAACAATTTTGTGGTTTTCAATGATGTATTTGATAATTTTGGTGTTTTTTTACTCTTTCTGTGCTGTATGATTCAATTAAGAGACTTCTAATGTCATCCTGAACAATATTATCAGTGGAAATTTCAGGATGAAGTCACAGAACGCAATAACACCAGAGCTTTGGTGTCCATATTACAAGCATAAGTATAGACGAATGTATTTTCGAAAGATAACTAGTGCTTATTGGAATTAAATTTGAAATTTACAAATCAAATCAGGCAGTTTGAACTGATTCGGCTATTTGAGCCCAGTCAGACTGAGGATACCACTGATTAGCTCAGCCCCAAAAGAACGGAATGGCTGTCTAGTGTTAACGTAACTCTGACGCGGCTAGCCAACAGACACTACTGGTTAATCTAAGTGTCACACAACGGCTCCTCTCAACCAATCAGTGGTATAGAGTTGTATGCGCTTGCAGTCCTTCTTTAGCCTTAAAGGCAAAAGGAGCAAGTGTGTTATCCCTTGATGATGTCTTAGTCTTTCTGGTTGCATAGTTTCAGGTAATACTGTATTGCATTTCAAGGAAATTATGTGTATTACTGTATTTTAGAAGTGGATATCGGATACACAACAGTGAATGATATCTGAAGTTTGCTAGAATAAACAGTGAGGTTTATGCAGCTGTGTCACATATGATAAAAGTGGTCAGAAATATCCATTTATAAAGTTGACCAACCATTGGTTTCATTTCTCCATGGTCATTGTACCTCATTTATACTCCCTTGTTTTCTCCTCTACCATTCGGTAAACTCTACTTCTTGTCAAATACCTGGACGATGCTTGTTCTCTGATGAGTATTTCTGACGTCGACGAGCATTACATCAGTCGAAAACAGTGATACGTTCACATTTTATAAGACCGTATTTATTAGTTTGGCTTGTTTTCCAGGTAATGACAACCTCTGATTAAATAGCCTGTATGTCTGAACATACATGTGTCGGTGGATTAGTGGTAGAATACTCACCAAACACGTCTCACACAGTCTGGGGTTCGATTCCCGGCTGATACACTCATTAACTTCGCTTAGCTGGCAGTAATCGTGGCGAAGAGAGAAAATTAGTTGTAAGGCTAAAACCCTCACCCATTAAAAAATAAATACCACTGCTACTGAAACTTCAGCTCTCTTGCTTAGAGCCCTATGTCTTACTAGGAAAGCAAGGGAATTAAATAAATATTGTGTATTAATAATATCTGGCGTCGGTGGCACAGCGGTTAGGACGCTCGCCGACCATGCACATGGTCCGGGGTTCAATCCCCCGCCGACGTACTCCTTTAGCCCGCTAAGCCAAAAATAATGCTGGTGAAGAGGAAAGGTTGGGCATGACGCTAGCAACCCAACCCTGTAAAGTAAACACTGCTACAGAAACTTCAAGCCATTATCTTGAAGCTCTATGTTCCACTGGGGAATGTGAAGGAAAAAGAATAATAATATCTGAACACTCGCTAAATGATACTTTATCTTTTACATTGAATATAAGTGTAATCAAAATCAAACACAGAATTTCTGGTCTCCATCAGTACACGGTAAACTGATCTTGAAATGAAGGCCTTATTCCTCACTTCTTCGTTTGTCTAATTAAAGAATTCATACAGAATCAAATGTCAGCAATCACACAGTTAAGAATTTACCACTTCATAGTATAAATTGAATCAAGTTAAACCTGTTATTGAACATACAATTATGAGGAGGACTAAAGAAAGATATGCACAAAGGGGAAACTCAATGAGGCGTTTGAAGTGAACACAGGAGTAGGACAAGGCTGTCTATTATCACCAGCGATATTCCTAATTGTGGGGGACTCGATTATGCGTCAGACTCCGCACTGGGAACGAGGAGACAGGAGTACGCTGAACCACCGATGGGAATACTCTAGAAGATCTGGATTTTGCAGATGATAAATGCTTAATGTCACGCAAACTCGAAGACTTACGGGTGAAAAGCAACAAATTGGTGAAAGAGGCTGGAAGTAAAGATGGGACTGTAGATGAACATGGAGAAGACAGAGGTGGTGAAGATAACCAACGAACAGCAACATTAACAACCAGCACAAATCACCATCAACGGAAGAAAATTGACAGAGGTTACCTCCTTCACTAAACTAGGAAGCATCGTTTCAACTACAAGTGAAACGGACGAAGATGTCAACGCCAGTTGGAGTCGGAAAGGCAAGATACACCTTCATCAAACTGAAACCAGTTTGGAAATCTTCCTCTGTCACTCAGCATAAGGAACAAGATTCTCATTTTCAACGCCAGTATCAAGTCGGTTCTTCTATACAGGTCAGAAACTTGCACTGCATGTCACTAAAAGGATTTCCAACAGGTTGCAAACTTTCATCAACAGCTGTCTTCTCCGGCTCCATACTGAGGATCAAATGGCCAGAAAGAATTAGTAACAAGAAACTCTGGCTGGGAACAAACCAATAGGCGAGAGCCGATCGCTCAACAAATATGTAGAAGAAAATGGAGATGGATCGGGAATAGATTGAGGAGGCCGTCGAATGACATCGAGCGCCAGACCATTGCTCGAATGGAATCTCAGTGGGCATCGACGATTGGAGCGTGACATGGAGGAGGTCGTGTGAGGAGAAGATGAGAGATTATGGGCAACCGTGGTCAAAGCTGAAGAGGACAGTAGAAAATAGGAAAAAGTTGAGATGTGTTGTTGAAGCCCTATGTTCTTCCGGGAACTCAAGGGAATAATAATAATAAAAAGAAAGATAAAAGCAGATGCAGGATAACATTTACTAATTGAGAGTCGAGTTTATTTTTCCTTGTACTCTGAAGTTTCTGTAGCGATAGGGATAAATTTTCTTACTGATTCTCCCCATAGTTTGAACCTTATAACAGCCTGAGAGGTGAACTTAATCAGTTGTCGATAATTGTACATCGATTAATGTTTCATCACTGGGCTTGATTGTACCATCGTCAGCATAAGATTCTTTAGGGGATAATTCATTATGCATATACTTTGTGCGTTGGTAGTTCATCATTTCAGTTCCCGGCCAACACACTTCTTAACTTCGCTTGGCCAATAAAAAGGGAATGCTAACTACCTCAATCCCCATAAAAGCACGAATGTCACTTAAAATGTCAGATCTCCAGTTTGTAGTCCTGTGTTACACTCAGAACACAAATTTTCCCGATCATAACGCAGTGAGAAGTCATTTCTATAGGAGTACCTTTCACAATATTCTGTACTCACAAGTTGCCATGTATTCTTTGTGATGAGTATACTACTTTTTATCTTTTTTTATCATCACTTTTTGTTTAGCTTCAATGTACAATCGAAATAGACGGGATTACTTGTTTCTACGTGGTTGATTCAACTTTCTACAGCCTGTGCAAATGTCAACAATTAAATATTAATTAATAAATAAACACATTCAGAAGCATAGACATAAAATTTCTAAGATGTAACACTGTTTAGCATATGAATTTCACATTGTCAATTGTATATTCATTGAAGTAAATAAAAATTGAATGAGCACAGTATGTTAGTTTATTGAATCCTTTTGGAGAAAGTGGTTAGAATTCAGTTGACAGTGTCTTCCTTGTGCAATTAGGCAAGAAGAAATGCACCACAGTTAGTTGAAGGTATGATGTGGATGAGAGTGAATGTGAATTATGAGCAAATACATCAGAAGACATTGCGATAGTCCGAAACGCACGTTAAATGGATGTCTTTATCGGCGTGCCACCTGAGCTGTGTATGTATGTATGTATTGAAAGGTACTTCTCTCTTAGTGTAGCATTGAAATAGAGATTCTACGTCCAGTGATAACTTTAGTTCCCCAATTACATTCAAATCTTTTATGCATTCGATAAATTCAAAAGTATCTCGGAAAGAATACGTACATAATTGTTGCCTTACAGGCTCTAGCCTTTCAGATTACCATTTGAAAATCGGATGGTATTTTGACCCCTCTATGTCTAAAATTGATCTAATTGGCAGACCTGCTTTTTCCACCTTTGATAGACCGTAGAGTAGAGGGATAATTGATCTTGTTGATCTCAGGCGTTCAAATATGTCGTCATTTATGAGACAGTCGTTCTTCATTCTCCTACGAACATCTGTCAGTTGCTCTTCCATCAGTTTTGTCTCATTCTTCTCAATGTTTGGTTTTGAAAGTTTGCTATCATCGGAGATTAGAGCTGTCATTTTATTGATGTACATATCGCTATCTATGAGGACCACTGCCGAACATTTTTCTGAACGTGTAATGATTAGATCTTTGTTGTTTCTCAAGTCTTATGTTTTGTGATCCTTTGTAAGGTGTTGGACTTTATTGACTGCAGCAGTCGAAGATTGTAGACTTGAAAGGTCTGCCACTTTGACCAATTTTAGACCTGGCGGGATCACCATACTATCCGAATTCCGAATGGTTGTTTGAAATGCTACAGCCTGTGAAACAACAACTATTATTAAAATGTTACGCGATTCCATTATTACCATGAATAGAAGAAATATGGATCCGGTAGTTCATGAACCGCATCTGTGCAAAGCAGTTCTATGTTGAAACCAGACCAGTCGAGTCCATTAGTACAGTTGCAGATACTAATTGAAACAGTCGTTAAATAAACTGGTTTTAGTAATTCTAAGCAAAGCTAAGGAACACGGAGGTATGCATACAAGATAGCTAACAATCTAACAATGAGTGTTTTTTATTCATACATAATATGATGGTATAGTCAAGAGTAGACAGTGACAAGGTAAAGAAATGCTAAAAATAATTTGCAATTAAGTAAATTGGAAAGTGCGTAATGAGTTTAGCTCAGACAGCGAAAATCAAAAAAAATAAATGTGACTCATAAAAAACGAAGAAGTCTAGCTACCAGGGTAGTGAGAGACTAATCGCATTACATTATTTCACAGAGAAGTAAGGTTGAAATCGTTTAGGTGTAATTAACTTTAGCAAAGCGAGGTAATGAAGGTTGTCTCCGTATATCGAGTGTTTTGAAGGCTTTACTGATTTTCACACACACAAAAGCTTGGAGGATCTGGACTTCGCCGATAACACAGATATGTCTGATTTCCCACAAACTGGAAGATATGCAAGCGAAAAGCAACAAGTTGGCAGAAGAAGCATCAAAGATAGGACTTCAGGTGAACGCAGAGAAAACAGAGGTGATGAAGATTCCTGGACAACAACAACAACAACAGACAACGATCAGCATAAATGGGAGGAACCTGAAAGAAACAACCTCCTTTAGCCACCTACCGACCTGGGAAGCATCGTTTCAACTACAGGCGGAACTGACGAGGATATCAAAGCAAGAATCGGAAAAGCAAGACTAGCTTTCACTGCTCTCAAGTCTGTGTTTTGGTCAACAGCACTCAGCATCCAAAATAAGATCCGGATTTTCAACTCCAATGTCAAGTCAGTGCTACTCACTACAGGGATCAGAGACTTGCACTGCGCGTCATAAAGAGCATCTCAAACAAACTACAGACCTTCATCAACAGCTTCTCTCAAGATCAGATGGCCGGCCAGAAAAGATCAGCAACAGAGATCTCTGGGAACGAACCAACCAGGAACCGATTGTGAAACAAATAGGCAGGATAAATGGATATGGATTAGCCATACTCTGAGGAAACCATCAAGTGACATCACTAGACAAGCCATTGCTCGAGTGTAACCCGGAAGGGAAGCGGCGAGTTGGTCGTCAGTGCAAGGGTGACTTGGAGGAGGTCATGTGAAGAGGAGATGAAAACGTGTGGGCAGACTTGGTGCCAGGTGAAGACTCTAGCAGAGAACCGAAAGCAATGGAGACGTGCGGCTGAAGCCGTATTTTCCTCTAGGAATTAAAGGAAACAATAATAATACCGATTTTCACTGTATCTCCCATGTTAATCCAGTGCTCTGGGGATTCTAAATGCAAAAACATTTTTGCTTGTTGCAAAAAGATCCCTAAGGTTGTACTGAATACATTTATCCAATACCTTCCTCTTAATCCTACTTAAGTATGTACTGTCACAGATAAATGCAACTGGAGTTGATATGAGTAGGATACGTATCCAATATGGGCTACATCGATGGGCATTTCAAGTTATAAAGACGAATTTGTCTAGGAGTAGCAGATATCCCTTTCAATGCATCTTTGATCCTCTTTTGTATTTATTTTGATGCTTTTACCTCATTGTTATTTGTGAATAATAAAAACCGGTTTCGACTGCTACGAGCTTCAGTTTACTTTGTCGTTTCTCTTCCATATTTTATGAACATTGATTCTTCTCGGAAATTTTAGAACTCTGTGCTGTTTACTTCCTGAATTCATTTGTTTATTCAAAACATTTTGGCAGATATCCATTTTTACGCTGTGGATTATGAATAAAACGGAGTTCTTCGCTGAGCATTTCATCTGAACAAATAGTCCTAGCCTGATGAACCAAACATCTAACCAGATTTCTTTTGTATTGTAAAAGGACAGAACTCAGAAAGTGATAATACTGGCCAGATGATGTAGATTTCTGAAGCAGGCGACTACATGTTCTTCCGTCTGCTCATTCAGCCATGAAGACATCGAAAAACGAGGGAGAGAAAGAGTTATTTTGTTCTCCTCTTCTGACAAAACTTATGGTTGAATCAGCTTTGCTAAATTCCTCTAATATACTCCTTGCCATACTGTCTCTCCTCAAGACCATATATCAATGCATCATCAAATAAGGGCAACAAAAATCAAGACTTTTTGGTATTAGATGGTTTTAGGCAATCGGCAGGAAACCTTGGACCTAGGCTTCGTCCTAGTTGTCAAGCACCACTCAGCAGCGCTTTTCTGCAGCCTTGAGGGAATTCATGTCCCTTCTGAGATTCAAACCCGCGCAGTGCTGCATTCAGATGGGAAATAAAATGTTTTTATAGTAAAATAAATAAATAACATGTTAGAATGTCAATTGAATACATTTTAACATTATTTATTATTCTCCGATATGACTGGTGATAATATCTTCCATATCTACGGTATTTGCATTGAGTCATTTCTGCTGCATGTGTTTGGTGTAGGCTCCATGAACCAGGATTCTGTAATCAACTTCTCCCTCTCTCCACCTACCTATATTACTTTTTAGAATCTTGATTCTGTCCCACCCACCTTATTGCCTGATTGTGTGTTAATGCGTACTTTACGTCTGCTGAGCTTTTTTCTAAATTACTTATCTTCGTGGGATGATTCATTCTAACATTAGCTAAATTCTTATGTTCTGATAATCTCACTACTCCTGATCTACTAGTTTGACCAATGTAGTTGACTTAACTCACTGTCATTACAGGGTATATTGTAAATTATATTATTTTGTTCAATTGGGTCAACCTGCAGGGTCTTTTAACCTACAGAGCTTGTCCTACCTGACTGAGTTTGTAGGTTTGAATAAAAAATCAGGACTCCATGTTTCATCTTTAAGAGAGTCATTCTTTTAGACTCGCGAGGAAGACGTCCACTAGGACCGAGCCTAGTGATGATCCCATGGTAAGGAAGTTTGATTGTCTATAAATCTCTTCTTTATTGACCAGAAAATTTATGTACATCGTACACTTTAGACGAACTTCCTTTAGGGGGAGACAGAGAAATGTCAATCTTTATATTTCCCTATATCCATTCATTACATATTTAATCCATTGTTCCCAACAAAGGTATGTTGATGAATATGGAAGACACATCTAGGGATAGAGCGTCTTCATCCTCCACATTTAACTCTCTAATTCTTTAAAAATTTAAAACAATTAGTTCCCTTTATGAATCTAGATAAAGTAATGAGAAGACGTAGTTTGTCTGAATCGTCTGAATCTTCAGTAGAATCCAACGAATATACACTGAAGACACACTTGATGATGAGGAAGAAAGAAAGTTGACACAAACTCTGGTTGATAACAGTTATCCAGACAAGTTCATCAGGAGATATAAGGTAGTCAGTGGAACACTAAGACCCACTCTCCAATTCGCCCTTAAGAAAGACGGGTACATCAAGCTATCCTATGTTGGGCATCGTAGCAGCTTGATAACTAGACAAAAACTGAACGCTGCTGTTAAAAAGAATTTTTATGCGGCTAATATCATAATAATTGAGAATGTAAAGCCAATATATCTATCTAAGCCCTTCAAACATGAGGAAAATGACGTCACATCCCACTGTGTTTACCAGTTTGAATGTACGTGTGGACACACATACATAGGGAGGACTTACCGATCTCTGCAAGTAAGGGCTGGTTTCAGAGCATATTCCTAAATGGCTCCAGAAACAAATGGAATCTTCAGAACCTATTAACGGTGAGAACAGGAGACCTAGCTCTTCTATTGCGAAATATATTATAGAGACAGGACATAAACTTGACGTTAGCAGATCTTTTAAACCTATCTATAAAACGTGTTTGGGGCGTATCTTGAAGTTTGTGGAAGCCCTGGCAATTAGAAAGTTTAAGCCACCTTTATGCGTTCAAAGCAACAATTTGTCATTACATTAAACCCCCTTCCTTGGTAAACTTTGTTTTGATACCATA